TTGTTATATTTGTCAATATGTTGAATTAGAGTTTGAATAGTTTGACCATAGGGAAGAAGTGGTAAATTGTAGTAATTGAGAAATTTGTTAAAGCATATATGAAGATCATAGGAGATTAAAGATGTTGTAAATGATCTTTCAAAATTGTCTTCTACAGGGTAGATCACCATATGCTCAGTGCTCACAGTTGTGCAAGGTACCATAGTCTGCCCTGTACGTTGGGTCTACTAGTTGTTATCTTATCTACCATCAAAGGAAATGCTATTGATATAGAAAATATTACAATGATGATTCATGAAGCTCTTATTAATATGAATAATATTGATGAAAATTTAGAAGACAATTACAAGTTTTATATTGAAATAGCAATGCATTTAAGTAAATTAATTGATGAAATTCTATTAGAAATTGTGCAAGATCAATATGTACAATATCTTATAAGTAAAATTGTTAAGCTTATTGAGCAGTAAAATGGTTATGATTATGTATATTATATTAAATCTATATTACAGAAAATACAGACTAAGTCATTTTAGTTTATTTATAGAATAAGGTGTACTAATATACTTGATAGTTACATTAATTATCATATTACACAAAATATAACTATTGATCATTAATGTATTTTATTTATATTAATATTATATAGTGGATTTATATATTGAATTTAAGAATACAATTATAAAGAAAAAATAAACATTCATTGGTTCTTTGTAGTTATAAGAATTATCAAAAAAGGATAAATAAAAATTTTGATAAGGATTATATAATAAAATAGTTTTTATCATCTATTCGATATTACTAATTCAGCTATATATAGAAAATTATAAAACTAATTCTTATGTTCAATTTGGAAAATAGATATTCAAAATTTATTTTTATAACAATTATATTTATTAAAAAAAGTTATTAAAATAATAATCAAATTTTTAAATAAGTTCAATAATTTTTATCTGAAGAAAATAAAAGAAAAATGTATTTTGAAACTGATGAAAATAATTATTGTTTTACCAAATTTAATGAATTAAATGTATTGAATAAATATAAATATATTGATCTCAATGATAGAACTTTTGATTATTCTTATGTTCTTATATCAAATAATCTATATTCTTTTAAAGATAACAAAACTTTTGCAAATAATGTTTTGATTTTTAATATTTTGAATGATAATAGTTATTTTGTTGAAAGAGAAATTTTCAAAAATATAACTATTAATAAAATGAATTCTGAAAAAGAAAAAATAAAATATTTTAATGAAGATGATATTAAAAAAGAAAGTAATAATAAATTATTTGATAAAAATACAAATGCCTTCTCTAAAGTATCAGAGAATAAAAATATAAATACTAAAAATAAAGTTAAAAAATTTAAAAGAAAACTTGATAAATGTTATAAAATAATTAATGAAAAAAATGATCATATAAATGATCTTAAAGATAAACTAATTTGAAGAAATAATAAAATTTAAAAAGAAAAGAATGAAATATATCAGTTAAATAATAAATTATATAAAAGAAAAGAAAAATTTAAAAAATTATCAAATTTAATTAAAGATAATATAATTTAAAGATTTCGAAAAAATTATAATGAATCAATCAAATGAAATAAAAAAAATAGAAATAATAATAAAATATTATAGAATAAAAATAATAAGTTAGAGAATAAAATTGTTTTCTTAAAGAAAAAATAATTAGTTTTAAACAAGAAAATAAAATAAGAAATACAGAGTCAGAAACTAAAACTCTAATAAATAATTATAAAAGAATTAAATATAATAGTGAATAATGTATCTTGTTATACTAATTATGTAATGTATTATAAACTAATAATTATAAATAAACTGATTGTTTTATTTTTTTCTTCTATTTCTAAATCAATTATGATTTCATTTCCAATTGAAGTTAAACAAATAATTTTCATTTTATTAAATGATCCTTCCTCTTTAGCAGAAATATCAAAAGAATATAATAAAATAAGTTATAATATAACTTTACATGCACATTGGTTAGTCTATTATTATAATAGATATTATGCATTGTTTTATGCTTTTTAAAAAAACTAATGATTTGAACAAAGAACCAATTTTTAAATACTCAACTTATTGAAGCTTTATTTAAATTAAATATCTTCATAATATTTTGTCTAATGAATAATGTTATGCTTTAGTGATTTTGATTCTAATTTAATTATACTTAAAATACAACATAAGTTGACAAATAATAAAACTTTGATTTCAAATAATTTTTATTTGAAAATAAAATAGATTTTTTTTGTTAATTTTAAAAAAGTTTTTCAAATTATTACTAAAGTTCTAAAAATTTATGAAATTAATGATTTTTGTTCTAAAAATAATGATATGACATATTTTTATTTTCTTTCTGGTGGTCCAGAGTTTATAAACAATACTAATATAGTTTTAAAAAAAATATTCGATATTAGAAAATTTGATTAAAAAATATCTGTTTACATCTTTTCTATTATAATCATATAAACTAATTAACATTTCAGAAGAATATTCTCTTTAAGATACTTATGAAAATAATTGTCATTTAAATAATATTGCCAGAGCAATCTTATTGAAGCATAAATTAATCAAACTTTAATAAGAAATAGAATATTATGATATAATTCAGAATACAAATGAACTTGTTATTTAAGACCAATTTCTTATATGCTACTTATCAAATAATGATTTATTTAGCAATTATAATACAATATATAATTAGATAAATACACTATATAATCTTGTATATAAAATTATAATACAACTTCTTTGTGATATTTATTCTGTATTTAAGAATTAAATGGTTCTTGTTGGAAATGATATTTTAAAAATAATATTAAAGATAATGAAAAATTTTAAAGAAGAAACATTATTTGATCTATTTAAAGTTAATATATTTACAAAATATAACTTTATAACATAAAAGATTTTTTTCTTAAGGATCAATATTACATTAAAGATTTATAATTGAATATATTTGAACAATAAATTAATTTAATTTTTTCATTATTAAAAGAGATATTACAACAAACTTATAATAATAATTTTTTTTTAATTTTCAAGAGATTATATTATTTGAAAAAACATTTTTAGTCTAGATACTAAATACTTATAATATCAATTCTAATATTATTAGCAACTGTTTTGATTATATTTTATTTTTATGAGTTTTGGTTAATGTATTTTGTAACTCAAATAATAGAGTACCAAAGAGATTTTTTATTAATAATGTTAATTATATAAAGAAATTATTTATTATATTTGTAATCTACAATATATCCTTTAAAAAAGAACATCTAGATATTATTCAAATATGTAGTAATAATGAAATTCTTTGTTTATTTTTTGATCATTTTATTTATTTTTTGTTTGAAGAACATATTGAACCTATAATTATTATGACTGAATACTTACAAGTTAATAATAATAAGATATATACTATAGATAAAAGAAAACCAAATAGTAAGATAAAGAAAAAATAGAAAAAGATTTTTTATTCATTTATTTGTAATAAATATTTACTATGCAATATTGAATTTAGAGCATATAATAATTTTATTAATCATTTGAACAGAATCAAAACTATGTTAAAGATCTAATTTTAAAAAAAAAAGCTAAGCAAATAAACTAAGAAACACTAAGTTTGATTTTTTTATAAGAAATATAATTTCTAAATAATATTTTTATATTTAAACTGTTTTAAATTATTATATTTACAGATAAATGAAATTATTGAAAATTTATATGATTCTCTTTTTGGTTGTTCTTGTAATTTTTCTTTATGATCTTGTTAAATATGTGCATTACTAAGAATTAAGATAAGTTCTTTAGTTTTGAGACTAGTGATGTTAGTAATCATATGAGTTAACAATGCATAACTTGCAATATTAAATAGTACACCCAATCCTACATCTTCAGATCTCTGAAATACATAATATGACAAACTTTTCTTTATATTTTCAGATTGTTAATATAGAATTAAACAAAAACATAATAGAGTAGTAATTTTATTTTATCCAAATCTTTAGGATTCAAAAACTAAATATGATTCTTCTATTTGAAGGATCTGTTTTGATCAAATTAATTATATACTCTAATTGATTAGAACCTTTACTAGAATAATCATTTTATAGTTAATATAGTTTGCACTAAAATGCCTTAATTAAAACTCATAAATTAAATCTAAATTACAATTATCTCTTGCATTTTTATTCTAAATATAAATATCACTTTTTTGTAATTTACTAACATCTGTACTTTTACTAATAAACCAAAAAAGTTCTTTTGCAACTCCTTTAAAAAACATCTTTTTAGTTGTTAAAAGTGAAATCTTTCTGTATTTAAACTAAATCTTAATTGAAAAGATAAAAAGATTGATAAAGCTCTAGTACTAGTTCTATTATCTCTATCTTCTTCATTATTTAAAATATTCTTAATAAGATTTAGATATTGATACTCTTTATAAACTATATTTAAATCTATCTTAATAACTTAAGAAAGATCTTAGACTTAATTTATACTTATTTTTGTATCACAATAAAAATGATAAATAAAGTAATTAAAATTAGTAAATAGTATTAGTTCAATCATGTCTTTTCTTGAAAAATGCAATGTTGTTATTATTGTATTCTATGATAAGTTTGAAAACATACTTCTTGGTAAATGATTATCTGAAGTTCTAACTGAATACTATGATGGGCCAGGTGAAAAAATTAATTCTGATAAAAAAGTTATCACTGGTTTACAAAGAGAAGTAAAAGAAGAATCTGGTATTTTAATTAGAATCAAAGATTTACAAGAAGGTTTATTATATATAGTTTCTAATACAAGACTATCAACAAAAGAATCAGATTTGTAAAATATGAAACTAAAAATAATTATTATAATCTAACATATGAAATTTATATATATCTATTTTCTAAAAAAGAGAAAGCTTTGTAAACTAAATCTGACAAATATAAAGAGTTGAAATTTTATTTAGAAAATGAAGCTTTGAAACTAGAATTAGTACCTTTGATCAAGAAATATTTTAATTATATTTTTCTAAATCTCAATACTAGAATTACTAACAATTAGAATAAAAACTATTAAGATTTTAAGAATAAATTTTCTTAATAATAAATATTATCTATTTAAACCAAGATTATCATAAAGTGTTACAGTATCTATTTTTCTGTTATTATTTAATTTTCAAATTTTATTATTAGATAATATAGTAAATTTATTATCATACATTATAATATCAGAATTAACAGATTCACTATTTATAAAATTATTATTAATAATATTTGAACTAGATAGAACACTATACAAATTCATATCTTGAGTTACTAAACTTTTTCTACTTCAAATATCGATGTTAATATCATTTTTATAAATATTATCAAAATATTTATAGTTAAAATGATTAATAGTTAGGTTAACCCATCTTATACCATTATCAGTATCATATAAACTAGATAA